CGGGGATCGAACAACTGACCCTTGGAACAGGGAGTGAGTGGTGTATCCACTCGACCGCTTTACTCCATTATAACAGTAGTGATGATAAATAGTGAAAGCGAGTGTCATAAGCCTGACGACCCGTTAGGTGCAGCGTCGAAACTACACACTCAAGATAAAGCCTATGTTCGGTACACAATGAGGCAGTGTGCGGGTGACGCTTTAAGATGGGTGGTAGGCAGGCCGGTGAGGGAAGGAAGGATTTGTTGGGTTGAGTGAGACGCCCTGATCCTTCCTTGGTGGGCTGGAGACACATTGTGAAGAGTCGCGTGTCCGAGTTATGTCCCCACTTGTATATTATGAGGAGATGAAATGTCTTCCAGTGGCAGTAAGGAATTGCCCATTGCCCGTAAAAACATTATATAACTGATGTAACGATTCATATGAGGTTTCTTTATTGGACGACTAACCCTTCCATATCTCTATATTAAACGCACTGACATATAAGGAGTTATTCACGGCTGCGGGAATGTGTGTGAAGGAGTATCCTACCAGGAACACAATAATTGGTGGTATTTACTCTGGTAATACTGGTGTTATCACCCGTTTATCCCCTCCCTGGTGTAATAATGGCGTGTTGTTGGAGAGGTAGTGGAGGTGGTAGGCGTGACCTAGCCCAGTAAACAATACTGTAATTGTGACGGATTGTACCAAGACTTTCTTACTGGTGCTGTTCCTCAAGGGTCTGGAGACTCACTAGGGGTACTACTGGACCCCATGACACACTAAGGGGCACCAGTGGACCCCATGACACACTGAGGGGCACCAGTGGGCCCCATGACACACTGAGGGACACCAGTGTACCCCCATGGCACACTGAGGGGCACCAGTGGATCCCATGACACATATGAGGGACACACTGAGAACCCCCACGACACACTGAGAACCCCCACGACACACTGAGAACCCCCATGACACACTGAGAGGCACCACTGGACCCCATGACACCGTGTGAGCTCTTAATAGTCCCAATGACACTGTGTGAGCTCTTAATAGTCCCAATGACACTGTGTGAGCTCTTAATAGTCCCAATGACACTGTGTGAGCTCTTAATAGTCCCAATGACACTGTGTGAGCTCTTAATAGTCCCAATGACACTGTGTGAGCTCTTAATAGTCCCAATGACACTGTGTGAGCTCTTAATAGTCTCAATGACACTGTGTGAGCTCTTAATAGTCCCAATGACACTGTGTGAGCTCTTAATAGTCCCAATGACACCGTGTGAGCTCTTAATAGTCCCAATGACATCGTGTGAGCTCTTAATAGTCCAAATGACACCGTGTGAGCTCTTAATAGTCCCAATGACACCGTGTGAGCTTTTAATAGTCACAATGACTCCCCTGAGTGACACAATTATTGCCGTTGACATCTGGGGGCTGATGTTACTCCCTCTCCAGTGTTGTGTCAACGAAGCACTATATTACCTCAGTATAGTGTGCCAGTGAAGTGTTCTATTACCTCAGTATAGTGTGTCAACGAAGCACTATATTATCTCAGTATAGTGTTTCAACGAAGCACTATATTACCTCAGTATAGTGTGCCAGTGAAGTGTTCTATTACCTCAGTATAGTGTGTCAACGAGCACTATATTACCTCTGTATAGTGTGCCAGTGAAGTGTTCTATTACCTCAGTATAGTGTGTCAACGAAGCGCTATATTATCTCAGTATAGTGTGTCAACGAAGCGCTATATTACCTCAGTATAGTGTGCCAGTGAAGTGTTCTATTACCTCAGTATAGTGTGTCAATGAGCTATATTACCTCAGTATAGTGTTTCAACCTATATTCAGTATAGTGTGCCAGTGAAGTGTTCTATTACCTCAGTATAGTGTGTCAACGAGCACTATATTACCTCTGTATAGTGTGCCAGTGAAGTGTTCTATTACCTCAGTATAGTGTGTCAACGAAGCGCTATATTATCTCAGTATAGTGTGTCAACGAAGCGCTATATTACCTCAGTATAGTGTGCCAGTGAAGTGTTCTATTACCTCAGTATAGTGTGTCAACGAGCACTATATTACCTCAGTATAGTGTGCCAGTGAAGTGTTCTATTACCTCAGTATAGTGTGTCAACGAAGCGCTATATTACCTCAGTATATTGTGTCAATAAAGCGCTATATTACCTCAGTATAGTGTGTCAACGAAGCGCTATATTACCTCAGTATATTGTGTCAATAAAGCGCTATATTACCTCAGTATAGTGTGTCAACGAAGCGCTATATTACCTCAGTATATTGTGTCAATAAAGCGCTATATTACCTCAGTATAGTGTGTCAATAAAGCTTTATATTCCGCCTTTGTAGACAGCGAACTATTATTACCCTTGAGTGAATAATAGATTAAGTTACGACTACTGAGAGGGTTTCCTAAATACATGTCACACATTCATCAAGCTCTTGTTGACATTGAACTTTTAAATTACACCAGGAGAAATAATAATCGGCTCACTACGATATACTGTACTTCCTCACGGCACAGGACAGCACAGCACGACAAAGACAGACTTGATACCAGACAGCCCTACACGGTTAGCAAACACGTTAAGTCTGACTAACAGATATGACTGACAGCAACATTCAAGAGAGACATATCCTAACAGATATGACTGACAGCAACATTCAAAAGACACATAACCTAACCTAACACATATGACTGACAGCAACATTTAAGAGAGGCATATCCTAACAGATATAACTAACAGACACATAACCTAACACATATGACTGACAACGTTCAAGAGACACATAACGTAACCTAACACATACAACTGACAGCAACATTCAAGAGACACATAACCTAACAGATACGACTGATAGCAACGTTCAAAAGACACATAACCCAACAGATATGACTGACAGCATCATTCAGGGACACATACCCAAATCTAACACTTATGACTGACAGCAACATTCAAGAGATATTTAACCTAACCTAACACATATGACTGACATCTCCATTCAAGATACACCCAATCTAACTTAACCTACTGGTTTATATAACCTAACCTAACCAAGAATAATAGAGACGCTGCTGATCATGGGCATAAACCAGGGGGAGGGGGCATTAGATGTAGGATGGGATGTAGGGAAACTATATATATATATATATATATATATATATATATATATATATATATATATATATATATATATATATATATATATATATATATATATATATATATATATATATATATATATATATATATATTACTAGATATGTAATACTTCAACATCATAATGAAGGTGAATTACAGTTATTCAGTCCACTTAAGTTTTGTTTAAGATTGATTGATGACATACACATTTAACATACATAAATGTGCACTATGTATACAAGTGTCTGAAACATGTACAGTACAGTGTACACACTTTCTTACAGATTTAAAATGAAACGGCAAATAACAAGGGAAAATATAGCTACATTAGACAATAAATGAAACCTATATTGTTATGTAGACAAAATTAAAAAATAAATACAAAATCGTGTAGAAAGGAAGTGATTATTGACTAATTGAACACAAAATTAAGTAACAGATTTGCCCCAGGAGGGGGCTAGTTTATTGGGCACTCCCTTGCATCCTGTGCAATTCAAAGTGCAAAAGCATTTACAGGGCCCAACAGGGAAACATGCGGAGTTCATGCTTACCTTCTTGACTCGTGTACGTATTAAGAATTCGAGTGCCTGAAGGGCCATGGGTTGTGTTGGCAAATTACATATAGTGACAGTAGGATGAGTGTGTGGAGGGAGAATTCTTAATACAATTCCTCTGTTTATGGTAAAGCATGATAGGGTGGGGGTGGAGGGAGGAACATAGATAATGACAATATTGAGGAACATGCTTTTTAGTGTAACTGTGATGGCTTGCGTGTCAGTAGTTGCAGTATCAAGGAGGAGTATCAAGGAGGTCGAATTTATACTATTCAATAATTTTAAAAGTTAATATTCAATTTTTTAGTAATTTTAACAATTATTGAACATAATTGAAGGTAAAGTGACTAGTTTAATGCGCGGCATCCAGCCTCTTAACACAGCAAACAGGCGTTAGTCTCTCTCTGTTTTCACTGGAGGTAACATCTTGCTTGAGACTCTCTTCAACTAAACGCTTTTTTTTCTGTGTTTCCAAGCAAATTATTGGTCATTTTGAAATATATTTTACATGTTGACAATATATAATGCAGTGCAGTGTTGATTTAAAGAAAATAATCTTGAATTACACCAAGAGAGCTAAAATTTTATGGGTGAAATGGCGCCATGGGGTGACTTCTCTTCCACCCCAATGCCTTCTTCTTCCTTCTCCTCCACCCCCATTCTAAATCCCATCATCATCATCATCCAGGAGCCTTCTACATACACACCTCAAAGTAAGTGTACTTTTCTACCTTTTTTGTTGAATTTAGGCAATTTTCGGTGAGCTGGAACCAATTACCCAAAAACCCATTGAAACAATGGTTTCGGTTAACGAACTTTTCGGTTAACGAACGACCTTCTGGAACGGATTGAGTTCGTTAACCGAGGGGTCACTGTAGTCGAAATTGCGAATCGCAAATGTAATGTTCTTTATTCCCTTGAAGATTCAGCATTAAAATTTGTAATGTCAAGCCACTGTAGGCAAATGAAGAAAACAGTAGGAGAGGGACTAACAGAGGGAATTTGAATAGAATGTGATTAAGTGCAATGAAGACCAAGATTAAAATGACTAAATGAGTATGTGTGTGGGAGGCTATGATGAGTCGATACTTGTGCAGCAACACTGTTGAGCAATGGATGGACTGTTGCATCTTCATCTTAAACAGCAAATGACAATATACAGTACAGGATACACACAGGACATGGATTAAATCTGGCTGAAATAATATATTTTTCATAGAACAACATGTTAGATACAATCAGAATAAATTTTGTACAATGTGCAATACAGTATTTCAAAAGGTAAAATATTCTAATCAAACAAAATACAAATTCAATCAACACATCTTTTATTTGGTTCTTATTAAAATTTTAAGAAATATAAACAATTGCAAGAGGGCCTTCATAAGCAGTTCAAAATTAAATTTATACAAATATTGCAACATACAAATATTTCTTTATCGTTGTCTGAGTTTTAATGGGTAAAAATAAAAAATGCGGAGTCCATAAAGGATCTGCCTCGGTACTGTATAAGAGTCGGCAAAAAAGGTTTCACCGTTGCCTTCTCATTCCATTTAAGGTTTCCTTAACTTGGTCAAATCAACTTGGCAATTGTGTTCCTCATTCTAATGTATGCCAAAATTTAAATTAATTATTAATTTCCTTTCACCACTGTTTTGAGGTCTTTTTAATATTTCTTTACGTAGTCAACACCTAAATTAACTTTGTAAAATGCATATCATTGTACTTTGCATAATGTACTTGGTGTTACCAGAGGAAGTAGATATTTATAATGCATGACATAAACCAAACAAAGGAGGATTCTTTAGCAAAAATATCATCACATGTTTGTTGCTGTATTGATATGTAGAGCTTAGTCAATTAATATATTTAAACTAAGAGCTATTGACCAGCTCCACACCTCTTTTTTTGTAACAAACATCAAAAGAGAAACTAATCATTTAAAATTAAAGTTTTTAAGGATTCCTTATCTTACATACAGTAGAAGGTTCATTAACTTAATTGCATTGTTAATAACTGCTTGAAACAGCAGTAATTCCAAACAAGACCTAACACCACACTCACTTTTGCACTACAACTTGTGTGATGATTTAGAAGTTAACATCTACCTTGATATCCAAAAACTTAACTTGGAACAACTGTGTCCATAAGCATAGAGTACTTCAATCAAGGAACTTCTCATGCCTTTACCATTCCTCCCAATTTTGCATCTCTCAGCTTCATATTTAATACAGGTATATAAATACATCAATTCCGGTCTCTGCTTTCCTTAGCCTCACTTTTACCCATTTTACCTGAACCTCTAAACCCTAAAATTCTCACACCAAAGATACTTTCCCAAGTTCCTGACTTCCTAAATCCATTTTTATCTTCAGTCACACAATTTTAGCTTTCTTATCTTTAATTTAATTTTTTATTAACCTTTCCATGCATTGCTTATTTAACTATACTAAACTGGTGCACAATTTTCTTTTTGTTTCTCACTTTCACTTTTATCATTATTACTGTACAAGCTACTACAAGATTTACTTATTCAAACATGCCCAAAAGCTTCTGACACGATGTTCCGTATGTACTGTACATTACCGTAATTCGTCCATTACCTGACAAATTAGGCTTCTTGATGTCCAAGGGTATAATTTGATTCAGCTGCTCTATAAAACATATTAGTTTGGTCAATAGGAAATGATTTAGGCATATAACAACATGCCAGTTTCAAAAGAACTACAAGGCATTTGGTGGAGGGATAATGTTTCAGCTTGTGTACAGTATCTACATTTGGATAACAAAATACAGATCAATGTGCATCACAGTGTGTACTAAGTGCATTGAGTGCATCTAAGCTCTTTATACATAAATGCATGTGACAGTTAATTAAAATAAGTATACTCAAAAATGTCTGATTCCTAATTATACTTGTATATAATTTGCTAGAACATTTAAAAAAAATGGTTTGTTTTGTATTTGAATTAAAAAGCACAGATCAGATTACTGAGGACCACTGTAGATGTTCCCTGAGATATTGGTAATTATCTAAGGTGCAACAGAAGTTTTTATTATGTACTGTATATCTCAAGTGAAATGAAAGATTAATTAACAGACAAATATACTTTTATCTTGATAATGTACAGTACTGTATTAAGAAAATATATTGGCATAAATTCACTGTTTTAACTTAAAACACAAACCTATTGCACTTGACATCAAAGCAGTAATGGGATATCCATAAAAATTTACTGCAGTTATTTTCAAGTGTTCATAAGGCTAGTGTAAACTCCTCAGTATAAAAATTTATTTCAGTCTTACATTATATTTACAAGTTACAGTACTTTAAATAGCCTACCATGGCAGTTGTGGGATATCACATTTACCTAACTGTTCATTATTAATCTTTCAAAAAACAACATCTGCAAGACACCTACTATTCTAATTTATTTCATTCCTGAACATAATCACTAGCTCTTATATTATAACTATGAGAGAGAGATGGAACAATTGTCACCTCCATTTTATACTAAATTTCGAAAGTCACTATCTGTATACTAAGCCATCTCAAGGCTTAGTCAACTATATGATTTTTTCAAACACAACACATGAGAGTGCTGTTACCACCTACATGTTTGGGGCAATAATATTGAGGAACTTAATAGCTACTTCATAGCCTAAGAAGCAGGCAGCATTGGCGGGGAAGGCTCGTATCATTACTGGAGCTGCTCCCTTGAACAATGCACGTGGACCTTCTGTGCGAATGATATCCATAAACACACTGCGGATACCATTTGGATACTTGCCCTCGGGAGCTGGTGAGAAAAGGAACCTTGTTTTAAAACTGTAATGATAAGTTATATGTTATTAATTTGGGTGTTCACCCACATGTCAAAATGGTCATCAGTATGAAAGTCAAAGACTAGTTCTCAAAATGTTCTTTTCATAAAGAATTTTTATGTACTGTATATACAGTAAGTCCGCGCTTAACGTCGTCCCGCTTAACGTTGTTTTGGTACTACGTTGCTAAAGTTTAGACCAAAAAATCGTTTTAACATTCCATTGATCCGATACTACGTCATTCTGCGTCATCAGGGACTACTTTCTACATCGCATCACCCGCTCTCGTCTGGCCACTATATGCTCTCGGCTGGTCACAGTCTCAGAGACTCGCCACCCTCCTCCTTCACTCCAGCCATACTCCTCCCCTCCCGCCATCCACCTCCTCTGCTTCCCTACCCACCACACACTTGCTCTACTACCTCCGCCCATCGGTGAGTACCAATACAAACTTCGTAGTTGTACAGATATATGTATGCACTATTTTCTATATGAATGGCAATAATTTTCTGTATATGTAATGTATTCATGGGGCAAAGGGAGGCTCAAGAACGTAACTCCCGTATTTTATCTATTTCTTATAGGGAAAATTGATCCACTTAATGTCATTTCGTATAACGTCACGTTTTTACGAACGTAACCCTGACAATAAACGAGGACTTCCTGTAAATATTATTGAAAACGTTTACAGGTATACATATTGGTGTGTGTGTGTTGGAGCTTCCAATAACTTGATGACAAAAACCATTGACTCTTCAGGCTTCTACGCCCTTTAAAAAACAAAAAAAAACCTATGACCCTTAGGGCTTTTACGCCCTTAAACTCATGAGACACAAAGGCAAGCATGCTTCCCAGAAGGGCGCTGTAAGCACTTCTGCGCTTCACCTTGCACAGGATGTAGGGGGGGTGCCCAATAAACTTAAAAAAAAAAAAATTAATAAAGTAAGTTCTCAAATAATGCGTGTTTTCACAGCACAATTTGGTTATAACACGATGAATGTACTACAAAACACATTTTCTATAGCGGATACGATATGGATAAAACGTGATTGAGTAAATGGAACTGTCACTCGAGTAGGAAGAATTAGTTCTGTGGTCGTCCCGACATAGCGTCATACAAGGCGGGATGTGCAACCCCCACAGTCCTTTTATATCGTCCATATGCATCAGACATCTGTTAGCGTGGACAGTGCTTTATCATAGTACAAGTACTATACAGTATCAACTGTATTACTTTTAATTACCGTACAATGCGTGACAAGGGTGTGAAGTATTCTGTTAGCGGTGGTAGTGAAATGAAGTTAACGAAGAAAAGCTATAACACTTGATAAAAAATTTGATGTGATAAAATGGTATGAACCCTCACCTCCTCTACCTTGTCTTCCACCACTCGTCTCAAACAAGCATCTTTTCTTCTTGTGGTGTTAAAACATTATTTACATTTCTTATGGTTAAAAACTTTTTTTTAAATAGGTTTTAACATAATAAGCTGGTAAGCATAACACACACTGCTATGTATTATTTTATAATTTTTATTTTGCACCCTCCTTCACGGCTCTGTTTTCTATCATGTAGCAACATACACTAACACACTAACAAACATTTATCCCTTTTCAGGTTTTTATTCTATTACTGAATGATATTATTACACTAAAACACATTTATTATAAGAGAAAAAAAATAAAAAACAATAATGCTGGGGTCAGTCAGTCATGTTGGTGTTCTTAAACCTACTACCCCCTAACGGTTAGGTTAAGGGGTTAGGGCCTAACGCCTTAATTCCCATTGAATTAATAGTTACTACAACACAGTTTTTCTAGAATGCTGTATTTTTCAGGAATGCAATTACATGTACAGCCTCGTTCAAGATTCTTCGAATACTGCTGGAGACAGCTGGCAACTCAAGGCCGTTTGTTTACTGTAGTACGTGGTAAAAATAATGAATGAATGCAAAATTTGATCGGTGATTGGTTACTTAGTTCCCCATTGTTTAATTAATGGTTGTTTCGTATTATATTATACAGCTCCTCCCCGACTTACGTCCACCCGCACTTTACGACCTGCCTCAGTCGTAACAAAATTTGGTCAAATTACGTATTTTTGAGTCCCAAAGTCAGTACACAGACAAAATTTTCATCTGTAAATCACTTTAAAATGGCTGGCAAGCTTAAAAAAGTGTTTTGTGGTGCTGAGAAGAAAAAAAGACCCTCATTTTAGATTTTCTATGTATTATTTAAGCATTTCCGACTTACGACCATTTCGACTTACGACCTGGATGTCGGTCCCTAACCTCGTCGTAAGTCGGGGAGCAGCTGTACTACGTACTATAGTAAACAAACGGCCTTGAGTTACCAGCTGTCTCCAGCAGTGTTCGAAAAATCTTAAACGAGACTGTACCACATTATAGAACTGATTATTGTATACTTCTATGTATGCATATAGATATATCTAAATAGCCATACAGGTACAGTATAAACACAGGTATTTACCGGTATACTGTACATCTGTGTTGGCATATATACAGGCATCCTCGAGTTGTCCATAACTCTAACCCAATACTCCCATTGACTTCCATTAAGTAATTGGAGATACATTCCTACAGATAAATATATTGAATACTGTACTGTATTGATTAAAACAATATTTATTTTAAATTACGTACCCTGTACTAGTAACACATTACTTAAGAGAAACAGGAGGCCAATCTAATAAACTAAAACAACTTTTCCAAAAAATATTAAGGACCCATCCACATACCGGTAATATTCTCTTACATACCAGTAGAAGCTTCCAAATACTACATATCAAGAACAAAATATAATACTATTAGTAACTGCTATGATGTACTGTATTTGCACATACCAGTCTGCAGTCTACTCTTGAGAACATCAGGTCCAATAGCCACAAGCCAGTTGAACATGCCAGCAAATCCACCGGCAACAATGGTTCGCAGGGGACTTAGCTCTCCTTCTTTACCCTCAGGAGCCAGTGCTCGTTTCAGCCATTCATATGTCATAAAATACATACCAGATGCTGGTACATCTGTAGGCAAGAATTATCATAGTTACTGATTACAATATTACATTTAAAGTACTAATGTGGTTAATACCCAAGGTACAGTATCCAGTATGAGGAACAGGAAGACCAAGATTTCTTGTGATGTATATATAGATAGCTCTGTTACATTTATTGGTTTATTTGAACTTGCAATATATTAAATTACTGACACTAGAACCATTACATGGAAAATATCTGATTTATGAAGAAAAAAATCAGCTGATTCTAAAGTATAATATGTACAGTCAAAGAAAAAATTCATGTTATCTCCCCAGCATTATGTCCTGAAACCCATGACGGATATATAATTAAGGTAAGTCACAGCGAATCTTCACGGTTCAAGTCTGAACGGTGAATTTTACCCAAATTCTTTGTCATGGGTTTCAAAACATAGGACATGGTAAGTGAAACACGACCCTTTTCTTTGACTGTACCATATACATACTGTACAGGTACTATTCTTTTATTAAAAAAAAGGTAATTTTTCTATTCCCCATAATGACAGTTATGATAGTACAGTATACATGTCTATAAATTATAAAAAGAATTTAGATTATGATATGAAAAAAAAAAGAATGAGAACAAGTGTATACTGTACGTAGAAAGTTCTGCTAAGTTATTGAAAACTAAACCACCTAAAATGAGTTGTGTTAGCAGTATTTTTCAGCATCATCGAGTGGCTGTGTGCACACTGTACAGGTATCCCTCGCTTAAATTATGTTCAAAATATGAAAATTTGCTTATACAGTACAAATTTCCTAAATAAAGTTCCTGCAAAAATCCAAATTGCATACCACTGGGAGTGAGCTGGGGCAGCCATCTTGGAGAGATGGGCCAAGACGTATTCTTGTTCAATTATCATAACAACCCCACCAGTCCGCGGCTTTCATGCGTGTTTATGTGTGTGTATGTGCGGCCCTATCGAATATCCCAATATATATTATCTGTGGTCTCATATGTTTCACACAGTGTGGACAGTATCTTTGTGAGAAATTGTATCAGTTACAGGACCCTTGAACACCATCTTTTAGAACATACAAGGAGAGAGGAGAATAAATTCTTTATTGCCTAAATTCCAACAGTATGTATACTTCATTCCAATTTTCTTTCTTCTCAATCATCTTAAAAAGGCCATAAAGGTTAAGGTTTACTAATACAGTGGCCCCTCGGTTAACGAACTCAATCCGTTCCAAAAGGTCGTTCGTTAACCGAAACGTTCGTTAACCGAAACCATTGTTTCAATGGGTTTTTGGGTAATTGGTTCCAGCTCACCGAAAATTTCCTAACTTCAACAAAAATGGCGGAAAAATTTACTTACTTTGAGGTGTGTATGTAGAAGGCTCCTGGATGATGGTGATGATGTGCATTTGAAGTGGGAGGTGCAGGAGGAGAAGGGAGAAGAGAAGGAAGTGGAGGTGGAGGAGAAGCATTTTACTGCTTCTTGGAAGGTGAGTCACCTTCCATGAAAATGTCAGGAACCTCTGGACTGACAGATTCTCCACCATGAACATCCTCTCTCCTTCTTGAAGTGGAAGGCTGAGGGCTAGCATCTTGTTCCCTCTGCCTTTTACTGAAGAAAGTGTCAATTGTGGTCTGTGGGGCATCTGTCCTCCTCACCATTAACTTATGTTTAAAGAAGGAGACCACTGAGTCCTCAACATGACACAAAGTTAGTTCAGTTTTTTCCACTTCTGGGTGCTTTGAAGCCAGTTCCCTGAACTTCTCCCAGTGGTAAATCACATCTTTCAACTGTTTAGCTGACATATGGTCATCACTTTCAATTTCCTCCTCACCACTGTCAGCCTCTACCCGTAACATCTCATCCAGTTCCTTCAAGTCATTAGGAGTAAGTTCCTCCTCATGAGACATCACAAGCTCTTCCACATCCTTCTCCTCCACTTCAAGACCCAATGACTGACCAATGGACACAATCTCCTGGTCCAACTCTGTGTCATCCTCAAATCCCTCAAAATCATGGACTACTGATGGCCACAGTGCTTTCCATGAAGAATTGAGGGTTCTATTGGAGACTTCTTGCCATGATGACACAATCAATTTTACAGCCTCCAGGACGTTGAATTGTGTCTTCCAGAACTGTTTCAGTGTTAGTTCAGGATCAATGGAAGTTGCCTGATGACACCTCCTAAACATTTTCTTCATGTACAACTTCTTGAAGTTGCTGATCACATTCTGGTCCATTGGCTGTATGAGTGATGTAGTGTTTGGAGGCAAAAACAACACTTTCACAAAGTCAAATTTATACTCCAAATTTCTGGCAAGGTCAGGGTCATGACCAGGAGCATTATCCATGAGGAGAAGAGCCTTTAAAGGAAGTTTATTGGTGGTTAGGTAGCTCTTGACAGAGGGGCAAAACACATCAACAGCCCATTCATTAAAGAACTGTCTTGTCACCCATGCCTTACGGTTGGACTTCCAATAAACTCCAAGCATTGTTCTTACCACTTTCTGTTGCTTGAACACCCTGGGGTTTTCAGAGTGGTAGACAAGCATAGGCTTCAGTCGGAAATCCCCTGAAGCATTGGCACCAAGCAATAGAGTGAGACGGTCTTTCATGGGTTTATGCCCAGGTAAAGAGGCTTCATCCTTGGTGATGAATGTTCTTTTGGGCATCTTTTTCCAGAACAGCCCAGTTTCGTCAACATTGAACACTTGCTGTGGAAGATAATTTTCTTCTTCCATCAGTTTTTTAAATTCAATTAAAAACTTTGCTGCCCCTTCTTTATCAGCACTAGCAGCTTCACCATGCCTAACAACACTTAAAATGTCACTTCTTTTCTTAAATTTTTCGAACCAGCCTTTGCTAGCCCGAAAATCTTCAAATTCTGTTCCTGAAGAACCAGGTTGATCTGTCTTTAAATGTTCATAAATCTCCCTGGCTCTTTCACAAATGAAATCACCAGAAACTGAATCACCTTTCATCTGTTTTTCCCTAATCCAGATGATAAGTAACCTCTCAGTTTCTACGATTAGGGATCTACTTTTAAACACTCTTGTAGATTTGTCTCTCACGTTCACTTCCTTAAATTTGTCTTTTTGTGCAAGAATTGTCGACACAGTTGATGCCGACATGCCATATTCTTTGCATAGCGCATTTGATTTAATACCTTGTTCGTGTTTTTTTATTATTTCCTGCTTTATTTGGATTGAAATCACTTTTCTTGATCTCTTAGGCCCCATGCTGGATTCAAACAATGGCAACACGTATTTTTCAAAGTTAAACTAGCTGTAAATAAAGAATATTTTCTTTAAAGTAACACTGCACTGCACTATATATTGTCAATATGTAAAATAATTTTCAAAATGACCAATAATTTGCTTGGAAACACAGAAAAAAAGCGTTTAGTTGAAGAGAGTCTCAAGCAAGATGTTACCTCCAGTGAAAACAGAGAGAGACTGACGCCTGTTTGCTGTGTTAAGAGGCTGGATGCCGCGCATTAAACTAGTCACTTTACCTTCAATTATGTTCAATAATTGTTAAAATGACTAAAAAATTGAATATTAAACTTTTAAAATTATTGAATAGTATAAACTTCTTGATATTTACAAAAATAGTAAGGAATTTAAGCCCTAGAACCGATTAATGTATTGGCGGACTGATACTAAAGCTGGTTGCCCGGTCAGTGCAAGCGAAAACATGTTGAGGTCGGTTCGTAAGAAGTTCGTTAAGCGAAATTTTTTTCGTTAAACGAATTGAAGATCCTTATGGAAGGCAGTTCGTTAATCGAAATTACGTTAACCGAGGTGTTCGTTAAACGAGGGGTCACTGTATCCACTACAGAATATAAATAAAACCTAACATAATGTTAAGGTAGTTTCTTCATAAGCAAACACTTTACCCCAATATCTTGTCAACTACGGTATCTCCTTAATTAAAATATTAATATCATACATACTGTACAATAAATCTATACAAAAAGTACATACAATACCTCGTAAAAGTGTAGCACAGGTGCCTTTATAAATACTACGAATTCCTCCCTCTCTGTATAAGACCTTTACTACATCAATGGGGCCTTTATATAATGTTGGACCTGTACCAGCTGCTTGTACCTGAAAAAGAAGTACTGCATAATGTCAAGAAAGAAATATGTAATGGTTCTGCTTTACAAGTGCGATCAATATATTTTTCATTAAACCCTTTCACATTATTGACATTTGGACAAATCTCACCCTATCATTTGGAGTACCACCTTGCTTACTATACTGTCCAAAACTGGGCTTGGACTTTATAGTTCAATAAAGCTGCTCCAGGAATAACAACAATGAGCTATTTATGAATATTTGTTGGGTGTGAGGGCATTAAAGCTTGTCTCAGCATCCATGGAGAGGAAGAAGGAATTGGAATCATCCAACACATGCTGGCTGATTATAAAAGGGATTTCAGGAGCAAACCCTCATTTGTATCCAAAACTGGAATAGGTAAATTATTGTAAGCTGAAGTCAGTTAATATAGATGGGAAAATGGAGGAATGAACTTCACACAAAAACACAACTTGCATCCTTCATCCATGGAACCAGACTGAAGTACACCACATGATCCCAAGTGCTACACAACCGAAATGCACCATAGGAATGTTCAGATATCCTAAGATAAATACCCTCTCTTCATGTAAACACTCCTCCATGCAATCCCTCAAGGTAATACATGTGAGGCATATACGGTAACCAGGATCGTTAAATGCCTATAAATGAACCTGTTACATACTTTACCATACCAGAGTAATAGAGAGATTCCTATCTGGTTTCCATACGTAACAGAGAAGAAGCTTCTTACAACTATCTAGAAGGCAAAAGACATCTGTTGTCAACTGGAAAAAAAAGAGCTAACTACTATTGTACTACTAATAGTGGGGCAGATTATGACAAAAATAAGACTCAATTGTGCACTTTGTGGTACAAGTACCAACTTTGGCATGATTGTTCTATAAACTCTTCTGAACAAATCTAGATGTGGAACCAATGTGAAATACCTCTATTACCACCCCGTTCAACATGACTACTGTAATTTTGGAAATTTTAGATGTATTCTTGAAATTGCCATATTTTCATTACTTATACACACAGGAACATATTTTATATATCAAAATCTTTGTACCAACTCACAGGATATCCTACAATAGGACAATGATCACCATTCACCTTTATTATCACTCATATACTTAAAAATGTACCATACTGATGAAATACAGCAATATCTCCGTTAGCCGGAATCCCTCAAACCTGGAACTCTCTGATAGCCGGAACTGAAATTTTCTTGGAAAATCATTCATAAAGCCGGAATTTTCTGGCAAATTCCGACTTTGGGTGTGATTTTCCGAGGGGCATACTTTCCAGAGAATTCTGAGAAAATTTTCCTGATACCTGTAATATTCTGGGGGTGGGGGAGTTTTTTCCCGGTTTGAGAAATGAAAATCAGGCACATTTTCTGGAAACTCCAAGAAAAATTCCGGGGACGGGATATTTTTCCAGGTTCAAGAGATGATGTAATAAGCAATTTCTGGAACTTACAAGAACATTTTTCCATTACCTGGAAAATTTGGGGGTTAAGGGTTATTTTTCCGGCTTTGAGAGTCGTCTAGTTACTCAGAAATCTCTCATTCCCGGAAGTGCTCTGCACCAATTGTTCCGGCTAATGGAGATATCACTATTTCTATATTTTGTAGCTTCTGTTTTAGATTATTTAATACTGTGTAGTATTATACAGTCTGGAACAGTAGCACATGAAGATGGATGTTCAGTTGTAGTTTCAGAGGCTCTTTTTATTATCTTTTGTAGATAAAATTAGGATTCAAGAGCACATTTTTATATGGCTCTTTTATGTGTTTCAGGTGGTGATAGATACTAGTACAGCATGTGCATGCATAAAAGTAGTAGTTATAGTGTATCATAGAACTGATAGTAGTGGTGGTCATATCTTTATATATCAACAAACTGATAAATTATTTCAATTAATTATCAACAAACTAATGCACACAGTAGCAACAATCAAAATTGATGCACATGTGTGCAAGTGTGCAATCATTCTACAGGATGAGTCATTGTTGGCAAAGCTTAGCAATCTTGATCTGGTAGCACAAGATGCAGTGTACCATGCTACATCTCTATACGTATAGCAGGACTGAAAAGGTTGACATAAAGGAGGATGCCACGAGCTTTGGAATTGCACTTCCTTAAGACTTAAAATTTACCACAATCCCACATGTGGATTGGGAGGCCAGCCTGAATTACATAAGAACCTTCCCAATTTCCCTATAAAACACCCTAGAAGGTTGACACCTCTCAGGGCATCAACCTAAACCCAGTAAATATCATGGACAAAAAAAGACTATTTTTAGTCTGTTTAAGTTCCACACTAAAATGGATCAGCCTTGTAACTAAATCCTTTAGCCGATTCCTGAACTGGTTAACAGTTGACAGGAGAAAACAATATTAAGAACATCAACTAATGTTTCCTGTGTGCTGAAGCTGGTAAGCCACTTTTTGTTAATACACCCCATCTCATGACAGGTGCTTTGTAACCAGGCCTAACATCAATGGTAGGGCAGCCACCAGAGGCAAATAGCATTACACAGTGGGCACTAAATGCCCACTTTAAAGGCAACATAGCGTATGACGATGGAGCGTTACAAACATCACTTATAGGCCATTCTTTTATATACTGTACTGTACAGTATGTCAATCTGTAAATCGGTTTATGAAAAGTTCAGGTGGCAGAGGAGTGTTATTTAAATATAAGGAAGGTAAACTTGAAAGGGATCCAAGAGGCTCAAAAGTTACAGAAATCCCTCAGCTGAAATCAATCTCATTTGGTCAGATAGCTCAATTACCAAATCTTTCAATATTTGGAATTACAGTATTTATGGTAAGTTTGGCCTCAAAGGTAAGATCATCTTCATCTTGCTGTTCCAAATCTAGCAATTTCAGAAAGTGTAAGGAAATTAGTGACCTCTGAGCTGCAAACAAATTAGCATTCATGAAAAGGGTTGACAATTATTAGAGAAGGTGATCAAATATACCGTAATTCAGGAGCGAACCAAGGACATGGGATCAAGAAAAAGTTAAAAAAAATTTCGAAAGAACAGAAATGCCAATCTCGACTTATTTTTTCGCCAAATAAATGCCCTGTTTTACCTATGGTTCGGGTACTCTATATTACACACTAACCCACGCAAGTGTGGAAAATGGCCATAAAATGATGATGTATGATGATTGTACTGTACTCAAAATCCTGTTTATCTCTAACTGATGCTCACTTGTAGTAGACACTTGATCCTTTCCCCTGGAGTCATGATGGCAGTGGTGAACACTCCTGACAGCATCCCAGCATTGAAAAGTTGAACTGCTGTTAGTTTCTGGTCAGGTGACGTCTGTTGTAGTTTCTTACCAATGCCAAAGCCCAAGAAGCAAATGGCAAACATTGGTGTAACTCCAATCAGCGGAGCAGCCATGCCTGATACAGAAAGAATTGTGGTATGTATATAAACTGACCATATTTACAAGTATACTGATGCAGCATTGAAGATAACACATTTTAATGAGGATAACATAAATTTGTACTAAAAATAACAGGAAACTTTCATGTTATACAGTATAGAAATAGGGGATTCATCCTAAATTCCCTTTTTATGATCAGATATGAGTTTATAAGCTAGCATGAGAGTCATCTGTTATTATATCTCTTAGGTACTGTTGCTCTTACTATTACTGTACGTAGTTACTTTTCCAAGCACAGTTGAGTCTAGCAGTTCTAAGCCTGTTGCTTTGCTATTTCACATGGTAATGAATTCTTAATTCTCATTTTGTTATGATTCTCTTTGTTCAATAGTAAGTGCAGAACTATACTGCAGTTATATATTTACAGAAATACAATACGTACTTATTTGTAAAATTATTACCCGGTATTGATTTTATCGTGCTGCAGCTAGTTGGAGTACTAGACATCAGTAAATCTGGAATAGTGTAATACCAGACTGGAGGTTTTCTGGTACTGTAATTATATTCTAATTACGTACAAACCAGAATAACAATGTCAGAGCAAAAATTACATAACTTCAGCAGCGAGGGCATTTGTCATGGTGAGGCATGACAAGTTAACGTATGGTATTTGGGGGAAGGTCTCATACAGGATACAGTATACGGTAATGTTTTGGGACTTAAATTGTAACTCCACATTTCCTATATGAGCCACTGATTTACAACTCCAGGACTAGACTGATGGAAACTAAATCCATATGTTAGGTAGGATCTACAATACAGGGTAGCTATATCTAATACAGTGGGGTATGCTATAACGAATCTAATTGGTTCTAGAACCTTGTTCGTTATAGCATTCGTTCGTTATAGGATTAATCCGTTCCAGGGCCCCAAATACAACCACTTAACACTGAAAAATATAATATAAAATTGTAAAAATTGTAAAAAAGTGCATAAATATGCATCTAAACCCCTGAAATAAAGAATATCATTAATTCTTGTAAAAAAAAACAATAAATTAGTAAAAAATAAATAATAAAAAATAAATACATAAAAAATAATGTTCGTTGTAGGAGTTTCGTTCGTTATAGCATTCTCAATTTTATTGGTAAAACCGTTCGTTATAGGAATATTCGTAGTAGAATCCATTCGTTATATGCATACCCTACTGTATTATACAACAGAATCCAGAAACATACTCCCCCAGTGATTTATCAAAATTTAGAGAGAAAATTCTAAGATTTCCTTGGAAATTAACTCTCAGGGAATTTCTTACCATGCCTCACTTTCTTATTGGAATCCCAAATACTGTACAGTAGTGTGGCTTCAAGTAGAGTACAGTACAGTCAGTTCTGCTATAACGCGATAGTTGTGTTCTTGTAAAACATCGTGTTATAGAAATTCGCTAATAGAAATAACAGAGCTTATGGAGAAAATAGGGTTAGGTGCAGATTACTACTCGAAATCGAAAAAAATTTAGTAGTTAGCCTAACAAAAAGGTTAGCACAGTCTAAATAAATGTTACATTCATATCTAATAATGAAATCATACAGTAAATGTAACACTTTACCCTGAAAAAATATGAATACAACTTGATGGGGGAGAAGGGTAATTTTGAGGTTGATAACATCGAGCTTCTCTTCAAGGGTTATAGCCTTTCTTTTACGATCATCACCGGGAATGTGATCACCAGAACGCTTCTTGGAGATATTCTTCTTTACCATATTCACAGTCAATACCACAAAATTGGAGAAATAGTAAGCAAAAATCCGTTACAGCAAACAAGCGTTCATGTTATACAAATATCGTTCCTCTATTCATAAATCGCGTTCGAGCCAATTCGCGTTGTCAAAACACATGTTATAGCAGAACTCACTGTATGCACAACCTTGTCAACATTACACATAAAAAAAAACCACTGATAACCTATTTAAATTTGTCCATGAATACGAGGAATCACACACAAATAATTATATTTTTATTAATTTACTTAAAATAGAAGAAACAAAAAAATATAAACTACTGTACCTTTGTAAAGACCAAAGAAACCTTCATTTCGAATTGTTTTTAGAGCACAATCCCACGTTCCTGAGTACAGTGCTTTTTTACCCGGCTCTGGAATAGGTTGAGTTTGTAGTCGAACCTAAAAACAAGAAGGCATAATCAATAAGGACATCCATAAAATTATTGCCAAGTATTGATAATGAAGATAACCATTACTGTACATTATTGAAAAAACCTGTATAAAGTGACATTCAAACAGGTAATAGAATGCATGCACCAGTGACGTACAGTATATTCCGGTAGTTGAGACTGACTCAGAGACCATTTGTAATTTTAGCCTTTATGGATCATTCATAAATAGTTTTAGGGGGCTATGACTTCAGGCTGGTTAAGCAGAGTGGCACTTGGTTAATCGACTACACCACTGGTATGCACAATAATACTGCCAATGTATCTTGGCGCATTAACTATTTTCTGCCATCTTACTGTACACCTGCTTATGCAACAACTGGGTGACATCCTTCACTTATGTTGGCAGGGAAGAGGATTTGAAATTGATGGTTATTATGAATCAATCACTCCAATCTGACTGGGCACAACAAACAACATGGAATGGGCACATAATTTGGTTGTCCTGCACATGAAACAACCCACCACACTCACAGGCTACATACATCTTGTCTTGCAACTCATCCAAAATATTTATTAAAAGTTATGGTAAGGTCACGGTTGCGATGGTGGCGTAAGCCGTCAGGTCAGATTAACCAGTCAACAGGTAATGTGTCCGAGGTCACTGGGTCTAGTGCTGGGCGGTCGCCCCTCGCCCCCCCCCCCAAATGACGGGCCTGTCTACTAGTATTTACGTGTATACCTGCATTATACAGCAGCGCTTCTCAAACTATCTGATGTGGCGGACCGGCATGGTTTTTTTTCAATGTGCCACGGACCGGCGAGCGAAGCGAGCCAATCCCGGGGCCTATAGGCCCCCCCCCCCCAGGAAAATCTTTTGAGATATGTCCTATTTCAGGGGCATTTTGAGACTATCTGTACTAAACATGAAGACATGATGTCTTATTCATTCTAAGGCCAATCATCATTGACGTAACAAGTCTTCCCAGTGTGCCAGGGACCAGTACCATATTTGTGCCATACAATTAATTGTTTACGATCAGAGAAAATATTATTTGAACATTCGTAGTAATATTATTTTATACAGGAAAAATATAATGAATATAAAAGTGGGTTGGGATGGGGTCCCAAATGACAAACACGCAGATACCCGTATGATGCTCTCTGTTCCACTTCTTGATGGTAACTAACCACTGACCTGTGACCTGACATCACACGTGTGGAATAGCAGGGTTGCCAGCTGTGTGACACCCTTCACGGCTGGCACGCATAGTAAAAAATCGGCCATTTCTTTTAATGGGATGCATACATTTATTTTATCCGAAATTAAATAACTACCATACTTAAAATAAAAAGATTTATGTTTTGGGTGGATATGGCGTAACTGGTGGCCGAGAAACGTGGCAATTCTGGCAACACAAGGTGATGCGCCCTATTGATATCCCCAGGTGTGGTTCCCACAGAGTCAAACGCCACATCATCATGAAGGTGTTGTTATACGTATTTCAGTTCGCTGTTTTGCTGTTCATTATATCGCATTCGTTAGTTGCATAGCAATGACTTTTAACATGAGTGAGTAAATGAAAAATATAGCCATAATAAATATAAAAACTACAATGAAAATGTAAAAAAAAAAAGACCGAGTCAGATGTCCCGGCAGTGTCACGTGACTATCGTTTCTTTCTTTTCTGAAAACTCTCCGGCACCGGCACCGGTCCGCGGACCACACTTTGAGTAGCACTGATATACAGTACATTTGCTTTTTGTATAAATGCAGTCTACGTAGACTATACCTGTTGTATATTATATGTAATCTAAGTACACTATAACTGTTGTATACATGCAGTCTTTGTACACTATACTGTACTTGCTGTGTACCCGCATTGTCTATGTGCATTGTATTTGTATAGTTTGTACACTTGCACTATTATAATGTAAACCTGTACTGGCTATATACATACATGCTGTATCATTGTGAACTTGTATTATAATTTGTATCGCAAGAAGATTCGCCCCCCAGCCTTTCACCTGAAAATTAACCACCCTAAAACTGACCTAACCTTCCATTACCTAACCTCCCATGTAACGTTAGGGTGGTTAATCTTCTGATGAAATAAGCTGGGACGAATCTTCAGGTGATCCGATGACTTAATGAATACATATATCTATACAACTCAGAGTGTGGCATAAGCTTTCCACGCACTCTATGTACTGACAATATAACGATAATAAGAGTACCCACTTCGGCTAGGGTGCACACTGGGTACAAGAAAAAAATAACTTTCCTTTAGTTTTGGGTAGTAACCGTGCGGCATCCACCACCCACCTTAATAGTGTCGAGTGGGTGCCCCACCACCACCGTGCACGCCCCGCCAAAACCGCCCGCCAAGAAGTCCTTGATGGCAGAAGGTGGTTTCTCCGGCATGGTGTAAAAAATATTATATGAAAGGATTAGAAATTAATCAGCCCACCAGAGGCGACGAAGCAAAACCACACACTACACTGGCACACTGACAACACCGGGTCTGGTGAGAGGCGAGCCTGCTCCACAGTCAGGTACACGTTCGAGTTGCTATCTACTATTTATGCCCTAATCTTAAGACTTCTGTTGCCGTATTCTGACCAACCACTTTCTACTCATTAATTATTGGGTTTATCGTTAAGTTCATTTTCTCATAAAGATAACCCTAGCCAATATTAATAACGATAACATGGTACCCCTAACATAGTGAGAATTGTTAAAATCCCTAATACTTGTAGTTAATATCCAGTGTTTTATCGGAACGTTAAGAAATCGACTTATCAAACCCCACCACATAATAGTAGATTTATTATCTTCTCGGGAACGTATGTGTACGATAAATTGTTACTTGTTATACAACTTAACTATCACCACTTTGTTTACATTTATGCAAATCTCATCATAAAAAAAAACATTGTTTTAGTCGTGCACTGTCAAAGGGATAAAAAGAACATCAAATAATAGTACTCAAATCTGTGTTTTTTCAGTGTGTGTGTGTGTGTGCGCGTGTGTGTGTCGCCGTAGGGATGGTAGGAGACCATGATGGAATTTGCCAGTCTCGCCGCTCTCTTCACACTCACCCATACATCCTGCTTCTCCCTTCACCACCACCCCAGTAAGTTTTCCTACAATGTATTTATCAGAGTCGGAAAGTTTATAAATTATATAATAAACAGTCTTAGATAAAACGCACAGCAGCAGTAAGGTATCATAATTTGTGATTGGCGCCTTGGAATAAACGATTAGAAATGTACCTAAAAGCAAATTTAACCAAGTCAACTGGTACTGACTGCATTTAAGGAACTTTCTGTGATAATAGTAATCTTTTTATTCTAACTTACATAACTCGATTTTACCCCCATTTAAACGTTATTTTTCATTGGTACAGTGTTGATAGTCTATTAGTCCTCCATTCAAATTCCCATCGAGGAAACTTTTTTTTTTAAGGGAATAAACCCCCCCCCCCCACTTGGGTACAGCTCCGTTTTATGGTTAATAGACCACCTGAACACAGGACTTTTTTTATGGGGATTAGCCCACCCGGGCACAGGTCTTATTTTTTTATTATGGGGGAATACCCACCCGGGCACAGGTCTTATTTTTTTATTATGGGGGAATACCCACCCGGGCACAGGTCTTATTTTTTTATTATGGGGGAATACCCACCCGGGAACAGGTCTTGTGGGGAATAGCCCACCCGGGAATAGGTCTTTAGTGGGGAGTAGCCCACCCGGGCACAGGTTTTTTTTATGGGGAATAGCCCACCCGGGCACAGGTCTTTTTATGGGGAATGCCCATCCGGGAACAGGTCTTTTGTGGGGAATAGCCCACCCGGGCACAGGTCTTTTTTATGGGGAATGCCCACCCGGGCTCAGATTTTTATGGGAATAGCCCACTTGTGCTCGGCACAGGTCCTATTTAATGGGGAACAGCCCACCGGGCGCTTTATATCCGTTGCGAGGAGCAAGTGCCAGTAATATAATCATATCATCATTGACTTGTATAAATCCAACTGGTTCACAAATATCCACATTATAGGGGTGTTAGGGTGCCAACCTGGGGATAAATAAAGGCCGCGTCCATAGTCTGTTTATTAGAAAAGGCGACAAGGGGGAACAGGCATGTCCACACAGCGTGGCCTCTGAACCGGAAGTTCGGAACTAACTCCCGCTCGTTGGCAGACCCATACACTGTTGCCAAACCGGCACACCCCCCCCCTATTGCAAAGAACCCTGCAAAATGATACACAAGTGACAACGTTGCAAACTAAATACATACAAAATGAGTGAAGGTTCGTTTCAATATACAACTGATACATAAGAATAGATCCATTATGACAAAATGCTAACACATAAATTACATATGGAGGCAGTTTTCGTCTAAGAGACATAATCCTGAAGGTGCCTGGGAGCGCGCCTTGCCTCGGGTGGCGTAGATGCTTTTGTAACGTCAGGGGTGGCTTCGGGTGCGGCGTTGAGGGGTGGAGGTAATTCCTGATCGTCATTCGTCCGCTAACGTCCAGGCGGATCAGGTATTGTCTGGGGGCCGGTGACTCCAACACCGCCCTGACCGGTCCCACTGCCCTGACTCCTGGCTCTGGACTCGTACCCACTGACCCGATACGAGTGGTGGGAGGTTGTAGGCGGTCAGGTTGAACCTCTGCGCATGTTCTCACTGCGCCCCCATCGCTCGTTCCGTTTCTCCGCAACCTTCCCCAGTGCCTGCTGACGTTGTAGTGCTGCCTGGCGGCGGGCACCGAGTCCCTCAGTTGTCGCGTCAAGAGCTGTGCCAGGTATGCATTGGAGTCCTGCAGTGGTGTGTTCAGGGTAGGAGCTCCCTGGACCCGTGTTGCCCCTCAGTTGTCTTTTGGCCGACTTCACTGGCGCCTTTTCCCATCCATTGGACTGTGGGTAGTGCGCTGACGACACCCTGGGCGTCACGCACCAGTCTTTGAAGAACTTCGACATTTCAGCGCTCATCAAGTTGGTCACTCCGTCACACGACAGAGCCTCAGGGATACCAGACCGTTTGAAAAGCCTCCTGAGGGTGGACACCAGCTTGCCGTTTGTGGCATCATTTGGTAGGTGCTCCACCTCCAGCCATCCCGTGAGCCTGTCCGCATTTATGAAATACGTGTGCCCGTCCAGCTGGAACAGATCGTGACCTGCCCAAATGGGTACTCCAGTGGTGGCGTGGGTATGGGGTTCTGCGGGGGAGGGGGAGGAGTACTGCTCGCACACATGGCACTGATGCCTTTTCTGCTCTACCTCCTTGTCTATACTGGGCTAGTACACCGACTGCCTGGCCCACCGTAGCATGGGGTCGCGGTCCTGGTCTCTTGAATGTAGGTTATTAAGCACTGCTCGTTTCATGGCTGAGGGGATCATGAGCTATAGGTGTCCTTCATATGGGCGAACGCAACCAGGTCTCCGTGGCATGACAGGTTCTGTTCATTTTGTAGAAGGGGGCGTGAAGCGAGCGGTTCACCACCCTTGCGGTCAGCCCAATCGCCGGCTGACACAAGGATATGCAGCAGCCTGAATTTGTCGCCGCACCCGGCCTCTTCCTTCACAAGACTCTGGTTCATGACGAATGCGTCTTCGCCCTCCATGGCCCAAGGCGTGGCGGCCGTTACTGATGCTGCGCCGCGGCCTCGTCGTCCTCCCTGTCGCTTTCGCCGCGCAGTATTGGGTACCTGAAGAGGGCGTCGGCTACGCAGTTGTCTTTTCCCTTGCAGGTACTTGATGAAAACTAATACATCAGCATCTTCTCCTTCAGGCTAAGTATCCGTGGGTTGCCGATGTCCTTGAGTTCCTTGTTTTTGAAGATCTTTGTCAGCTTGCGATGGTCAGTGGCCAAGGTGAGGTTCTGGCACCCAAGCAGGAACAGGCGGGCCTTCTTCAGGCACCAAGCAATGGCTAGTGCCTCATCCTCCAGATTGGAGTAGTTTTTCTCAGCTGGCAACTGCCGCACAGAGTCAGCTTTCACACAGCATCACACACACTGGCAGTAGTGTTGCAATATGTAAAGCCTATCCCCTGTCGGCTGTAATCGGTGAGCGCCACTGTTGGCCGCGAGACACTGATACTGCAGCCAGTTTGCCCACCGCCTGCAACTGGCTGTCCCAATAGACTGTCTTGCTGGTGGGCTTCTGTAAGTTGTGAAAGGGCTCCATTAGGGGTGCGACAGCGATGAACGGGGCCACCTGGTTCACGAGGTCGAACCAAGATCGTATGTCGGTGATTGAGGGCTTGGGTGGCATGCAGAATTCAGTGATGCTGCTGATGAGGTCCTGGCTCGGCTGGTAATCCTCCCAGACGAGAAGGTAGCCTGCGAATGTCGCGCTCCTCCTGCAGAAGCGAAACTTGCCGGGCCTGAGTGATCCCGCCCTTCGCACACATCTAGAGGAAATCCATCGTGTGCCAGAACGTGTTGGTGATGCTGCGGTTGTATAACGTGTTGTTGATGCACTTCATTTTCCTCGGTACATCCGCCACCACGTCATCGAAGCGTCTGGTGAATGTGTTCTGTGCCACACAGTGGCCCATGGGGGTGCGCTTGTAGCGGAATCGGCCCAAGGGGTAATGAACGTTGTGAGTCTCTTGCTCTCGTCATCAAGTGGGGTCTGGTGGTATCCCGAGTATGCGTCCGCCACCATCTTGAATGTGTGCTTCGGGATGCTTGAGATCATGTTGGGGGGGAGGGGGGCAGGCAGGTGTGGTGGGTCTCGCACTGGCTTGCCTGGTTGAGGCGCTGAAGTCTACCATCCTGTGAGACTGCACGTCCTTTTTGGGCACGGCCACCGTGCGAAACACCATTGTGTTGGCTCTCCAAAGGGCACAGGTTCGAGCTACTGGCAAACCTCGTCGTAGAAATGGTTGGATATTGTTATGGGCGTGTGCACAGCGGTATTTAATCTGGTGAAATAAGTTGGGGGCTAATCTTCATGCGATTCCAGATTAAATACCCTAATGCTTTTTTAGGTTGGTTAATATTAAGGTGAAATAACCTGAAGGCTAATTTTCAGGAGATCTCTTTATTGTAACAATTTTAGAAAAAGAAAAAAGTTCAACAGTCTGAGTCACCTTTGATGCATCAGGATTAGCTGGACCCGAGTCATCTGTGGAAGGCCCAACATATTACCTGAACTGTATTATGATTGCCCTTCGTGTATGAGGCTGGCTGGCCCTAGAGCCACCTAAGCATTAATTAGCTTATCCTAAATTGACCAAGTAAACAATATATATCCCTGCAAACTTGTACTCAGTAAAATAAAAAAGTAAAATAATTCAAAAACTATAAATTTCTGACAGAAGTGCTACTTAGTAAAGTACAGTATATTTAGTTTTTTGCACTGTCTCCCTATATAAGAATTATTATAGAGTTCCATACATGGCAACTACCGAATATTTATGGAATGCTTCCCAGCCAGCAACCAACTAACCTTCCTTTCTTTTCATACAAACCTACTTGATCAAACTTTACATAACATAACTAAACCCAACCTAAAATAATAATA